GACTGGATGGACCCAGCCTGGCCACTCGGAGGGTCGTTGCATTCTGGCCTAACCTGTCTGCCCCTCCTCCAACACCGTGCTGGGGAGCGGCCGTGGCCACGGGTGGGAGGACACAGCACTTGTGCCACGCCAGGGAACTGGCTCGCTGCTGACTCAGGAGGATAAGTGCCCCGGCTGACACCACGTCCCCTCTGCGTATAGCACCCACTCAAGCTCTGGGCTGCCCCGCTTGGCCACGAATTCTCTGCTGCAGCTCACCTCCTGAGGAAGGACCCACCGACCCAGCCAGGCAAATGGTTTCTCTGCCACGTGAGCTGGGAAACGGTTCCACCAGGTCCCTGAGCGCTGCCGGAGCCTTTCCCGGGTTGGGCAATGGGGCGGGTGGGTCTAGTATCAGCGTCCGGGCTGCCGGGAGCCCGGCTCTCCCTCCATCCTGCCAGAAGGAGCTCCAGCGAGCCACCGTCTTGGCACCAGGGCCCAGCCTTCCCCCTGCCAGGGGATCCAGCCTGGCGCCCCCACGGCCCCGCTCCTTAGAGAGAGACGCTGTGGTGGGGCAGGCAAAGTCTGGCCCCGGGGTCTCCCCAGCAGCTCTAGCCTGGAGCAGATGTTTCCAAGCAATGACTCTGGTAAGTCTGGCTGAGCTGACGGCTCTGAAAGCGCCATACGGGGGAGCAAGCAGCCCCCAGAGCCAGTGTCCTCCCTTGGTGCCTGGAGCCAGCCCTGGGACTCCCGTCATGCCCCGGGGCTGGGAGCCCCAGTGGGGTTCGTTCTCCAGCCCGGGGGATGAGATCCTGGGGCCCGTCCTGGGGCCTGTCTGCTCGGGGCAGCCCCTCCTGGCTGGGACACGCGGCGCCGCAGCTCGGTGCCTACCGCTGCCTCCTTTTCTCCCACAGGGGCTCCCCGGAGTTTCTCGGCCCGCATCCTGGGCATGGTGTGGGCCGGCTTTGCCATGATCATCGTGGCTTCCTACACTGCCAACCTGGCTGCCTTCCTGGTGCTGGACAGACCCGAGGAGAGAATCACCGGCATCAACGACCCCAGGGTAAGGGGGTGTTCGGGAAGGGCTTGGGGGTGTCTCGTGTCACCCAGGCAGGAAATGCTGAGGCAGAGGATGGGCCGATGTGCATCTTGGGGCCGGGCAGCAGGGCCTGTCGCTGGCTCACTGGGTGCTCAAGCCATGGGTCTGTCTAGACTGCATCCCTCTGTCGGCAGAAGGATGCAGATTAGGCAGGTCGACATTGCAAATGAGGCAGGGATTTAAATATCCCACGCCTAATTTGCATAAAAATGGCCGCCGTGTTTTGCCGACTCAGCACTTTGTTGGCAGAAAGCGGCCATCTAGAGGGGATCTGTCGAGAAAGAAAGCCTTTTTCCACAGCTCCATTATGGCTCCTGCAAGGAGGTTTACAGAATCGGTGGGAAAAGGCTTTCTTTCTCGACAGATCCCCTCTAGATGGCCGCTTTCTGCCAACAAAGTGCTGAGTCGGCAAAACACGGCGGCCATTTTTATGCAAATTAGGCGTGGGATATTTAAATCCCTGCCTCATTTGCAATGTTGACCTGCCTAATCTGCATCCTTCTGCCGACAGAGGGATGCAGTCTAGACATACCCCATGAGTCCTTAGGGCCCCACACAGGTGCTTAGGAAACGGTCCCCGTGGGTCCCTCCCAGCTCAGGTATCCCGCCTCCCCAGAGCAAGCGGGAGGCCCAGGTGAGCCTGCTGGCTCATCCCACCTGAGACATGAGGCCTGTCTCCCTGCCCATCTCCCGGTCCTGCTGTTCTCCAGCGGGAGAGAAAGCAGGTGCCCAGGGGAAGGGAGACCCGCAGGCGAGGGCAGGAGCGGGGAAGGGTAAGAGCCGACACCATCCCAACCCCCACATGAGGAGCTCACGAGGGATCGGAATCAGTGACGGGGGAGGAGTGAAGGTCCCAGTGAGTCCTGCAAAGCTGGTGGCTCCTGTTCAGCACGTATGGCGGAGGACAGACGCCCCGCCCCTTCCCCCCCCCCCCCCCGCTCTTGCATGGAGCAGTGAGAGAGAACAGATGGACGGATGGACGGGGAATCTCATCCAGAACTAGCACAGAGCCAGGTGCTGTGGCAGTTCTTAGGGAACTTGCACTAATTGGACAGGAAACGACTCGATAGTCTCATTATAACAAATCCAATCGTGGCGCCTGTGACGTAGTGGGGGTACCTTGCAGGTTGCTATGCTGGGCAGTGGGTTGTGAGTGATCTCCACTGGCTGCAGCACGGCCCAGCAGGGCAGGGGGTGAGTCGTTATGCAAGGGGGCTCCGAACCTGTCTGACCAGTGATCTCCCAGGGAGCGGAACAATGGGAAGAAGAGGAGTGGAGCCCTGGCTGGGGGGCAGGGCTGGAAGTGAGTAAATTTCTGTCTGGGAACATGGAGGAGACAGCCTAGGGAAAGGGGCTGGAATTTAGGGGCCCAGTCTCCCCCATCTCAAGGGGGGCTGAGGCATCCTAGCCCGCAGTGTGGATGCTCGGCAGGGATTTCTTGTGCAAGAAAGCCCTATGGCTAAAATGGCCATCAGAGCTTTCTTGTGCAAGAGAGCATCCACACGGCCATGGGCACTCTTACACAAAAGCGCAGCGTGCACATGGCAGTGTGGATGTTTTCTTGCGCAAGACTTCTTGCACAAGAACCCTCGCACAAGATGTTCTTGCACAAGAAGCCGCCAGTGTAAACATAGCCTTAGAAACCTCAGGCCCCCACTGATGCACATAGAGCTGTTGAGGGACAGGGTTTCTTCCATCTGCATTGAGATATGCATAGTAGAGCTGAGTAAGAGAAACATCAATCTCGGGTTAGGGTTTTTTTTACCCTTTTGAAATCTGGACTTTCCATTGTCCCCCTTTCCAAGGTGATTCTGCCAGGGGGGGTTCCCTAGATGAGAAGCAGGGTGCGTCATCTTGGAACTTGCCCAGGGGTTCAGCCACATCGCTTTGCAGTCACAGAGACTTTTTTATATTATGAAAGGAAAGTGGAGACGCATACATGCGTAGATCTGAGCATGAGGCATTTTTTCCAAGCAGAGTTGCCAGCTGAAAACTCCTGTCCCAGAGCAGTTGGATCTCTCCTGAGGTCTCTGCCCGCCCTGGG